ACTGTTGATCTCCTTTGTTGTGACATTAGCACTCATCACTACTCAAACCTTTCAGCTTTTTAAACTACCTTTAGACTAAGAGAGTTTCATATGTGCTTTTCATAACAGTTTACAAAAGAAAACTGTCAGATCATTATTTAAGTAAAACCTGCTCTTCATACCAAGGAAGACACTTTGATGAACATTAAGCTGAGTGTTGTAGATAAAGATACCCAAAGCAGTCATAATTCATTTTTAAACAAACATTTTTCAACCTCTCTTTATCCCTCAGAATGAGACTGATACATGAAAATGAGCCCTGTTCTGATTGGCTGCCCTGTGCTATTCAAAAAGCAGTCTGGGCTGAAACACTCTTTATAACTTCAGTGGAAATGGGCAGAGCTAAACTGCTATAAGCTGAATGGGCATACAGTGCTGCTTGAAAGTTTGTGAGCAGTTTAGCATTGTATGAATTTCTATATGAATTAGACCTAAAATGTGATCAGAACTCATAACAAAATATAGAGTCCAATTAAACGAATAACACAAAAATGGTTATTGTTTTTCATTCATTTATTGAACTAAGTAATCCAACATTAATGTCTTTGTTGGCAAAAGCATGTGAACCTCTGTTTTCAGGAACTAGCTTGACCCCTTTGGGCAGCAATGACTTTAACCAAATGGTTTCCGTAACTGTTGATCAGGCCTGCACATTGACTTGGAGGAATCTTGGCTCATTCCTCTTTACAGAACTGCTTCAACTGTGTTATGTTGGTGGGCTGCATTGCACAAATGCGATGCCTTAGGTGCCGCCACAACATTTCTATTGGATTAAGATCTGGACTTTGACAAAGCCCTTCCAGAATGCAACATTTCTTCTGCTTTAGCCATGCTTTGTAGACTAACTGGGTTTTAGGGTTGTAATGTTTCTGCAGGAGCCAGCTTCTATTGAGGTTTAGTTCATGGATGGATGCCCTAACATTCCCCTGTAGAATTTCTTGACAGTCCAGAATTCATATCTTCATCAAATGATGGCAAACTGTCCTGGTCCAATATCAGCGAAACATTCCCAATTTATGATACTGCCACCACCGTGTTTCAAAGTTGAGATGAGATTATTATGGTGGAATGCAGTGTTCAGTTTTGCCAAACATAATATCTCTCATTTAAGCCATAAAGATCCATTTTTGTCCTTTTGTCTTGTCCTTCTTGTCCTACTGAAACTGGACAGACTTCTAAAAGGCAGACTTTACTGCAAATTTTAAATAGGCAGATATGTTCTTCTTGGAGAGGAGGGGCCTCCACTTTGCTGTCATAGCATACACATATTCTTTTTCAGTGTTTGTCTGATTTTGGACTCATGAACAGTGGCTCTAGCCAGTGTAAGAGAGGCCTGCAGATCCTTAGATGTTACCCTGGGGTTCTTTGTGGTCTGACGGAATATTGTACACCTAGTTGGATGGCTGCTCCTGGCAGGGGTAACAGTGGTGTTGACTTTTCTCTATTTGTACACAATCTGCCAGGGGATCAGTGAAGTCCAAACTCATCAGGAACTTCTTCTAGCCCTAATAAGCATTCGCAAATAATTTTCTGAGGTCCTCAGAAATCTCAGTTGATTGGTACATGGCATGCACTAACAAATGTGTGTGGTTAAAAAAAACTCAAATTGATGTTTTTTTTGTTTGTTTGTTTGTTTGTTTGTTTGTTTGTTTGTTTGTTTTTTAACAGGGTTGGGTTTGCTACACTCATACCTGATTTTCATCCAACTGATGGAACCTCCTGACCCAAATTATCACCTATACCAAAATGATAATTCTAGAGGTTCACATACTTTTGTCAACAAAGGGGTGGTATTTGTTTCTATTGTTGTGACTTAAATGAAGATCTGATTATGTTTCAGGTCACATTTATGTAGAACCAATGAAAAGTTCAGCATACACAGTGCTGCTTGAATGTAAGTGTATGTGTGTATTTGTTTTATTTAAAGAAGTCTGTGGGCCCTTTAGTTGAAAAACATCTTTTAGACAGACATTTTTTGACAGGCAGTGTCTTGGGCTCTGATGGTGAGTTGTGAGCTTTCGAGGATACACTCATATGATTTATTCCTTAATGGACAGAGTTGGATCCTGTTTCTACCTCAAAAATAGACAGAGAGGCCATAATAGTCATTTAAATGTTGCCGTGTTGGACATTCCTGCTGTAAGGAGAGAGATAAATTGTAGATTGTTATTTATTTTTTCCACCGGCGGGATGCAAATATTTCCAGCCGCACATGCTTTCCTAATAAAGCACAAAGAGTGGAAGCAGATGGAGGGATTTTTTTTCTCCTTTTTTTGCAGCAGAATCGGTAGAAAGTTTTGGGTGTGAGGTGCCCCCATGTTTACGTGCAGCGAAAAGGCCAGCAGCTAATTTCTGACCAAAACACTTGTCTGTCACTGTGTAAACAGGAAAGAGAAGGAATTTGGAGTCAGCTGCTTCTTCTCCATTTTCACTCCCTCTCCTCCCTCTTTCACTGAGATAAACTCACCGGCCACTTTATTAGAAACACTTATCCTGTATTTCCACTTACTGACCATTTTATTAACACCACCTACCTTGTACTTCCCCTCTCTCGCCACTTTTTTTAAGGACGGCCTGAAGAGGCAGAGAAGCTGTTCAGGTGTGCTGTAACGTCATGTCAGATAAGGAGATAGTGGAGTCTGACTAGATTTCCGCTTTCCCAGATATCAGCAATGATACAGAAGTAAATTCAAGATATTTATATATTTTTTTTAAATCTTTGCGTAGCAACATATTTTCATAGTCATTTTAGCTGGTTTACTGAATGAACAGCCATGGTGATATTCCATTGCTAACTTAGTGGTCAAATCTCAGTTCCATTGTGAGCAAAATAACTTTGATAGATGAATATAAATCTTGTTCAGGATTGTTTTGGTGAGTTATTTTAAAGATTTACAGCCATTCAAAACCTATATGAATCAGCTAAACTGATTAGCTAGCCTGCTATCTCTGTTTGTCTCTGTCCCAGCTCTGCAGTGGCTAAAAAGTAACGCTCAGCTTCTTCATCTAATTTCAATGAAAAGGTGACACTAAATCCCAAGAAGGATTAGCTGATGTTACCTGGGTATGACATAATTGGTTTTAGCCTAATATCATGGCCATCGTTAAGTAATTGCCATTTTCTCCTGGTTTTGGGTCAAATGTTCTGTGTAAAGCAGTGATAAATAAGCCTCCAATTCTGAAAACTGTCAGGACTCCATGAGAATGTTCTCGAATTCTGGTGGGGACCCAGGACCTACCAGTATATCACTTGAAAACATAAAGACCCACAGAAAAACAAAAAAAGCTTTTGGAGATACATGTTTTTCTTTGGACAGTGACAATCAGCTTGTTTAATAGCTGAAATCAGGCAGAATGCTAGTATATTAAGCAAAATGTTTGGCTCATGACTGAAGATTGAAATTTTGATTCTAGAGTCAAAATATAGATGAAGCGGCTTTGTGTGCCGCTGTTGCATAGCTGTATTAATATTATTTACCATTTGAAAACATTCTAGGTTTCTTCTGGATTGAGTTAAATTTTCTATCATTTTAATAACAAAGTGCCATCACTGACCCAGTACACTGGCTCCCCCTCAGTACTGTCCTGAGGACCACCAGACGGTGCTTCGCAGCCCACTTGCGCAGCCCAGTCATTGAGAAACTCTAATCTAAAGGGTTAACAAAAGATAAACCTTCCAAATAATAAATAAAGAAACTGAAACCAACTTAACAAATTAATACTCAAGTATTGAAATGATTCGACTCAGACCTTAGTGAATTTTTAAAAATGACTCTGAACTGTACCAAAATAACAACTGTAACTGAATGGAGTCATTATGAGGTCAGAGATTGAGAGCACTATAATATAAATAAAACATTTTTATTATTATAGCAGTGAATGTGCACCAAACCTGCCCTTAAATGGGTAACTGTGCAGTTGCGGTGCTTTACCTGTTCCAGTAATAACTGCTGAAGTTCAAAGTGTTCAGTGTTGCAGTTGTAGTGCTTGTTTTGTTTGAGTGTTGATAAAATCACTGTAATAGGTACTAAGATGTTGAAAGTGAGCAGTAACAGTATTTGGGTATGATTCTGGGTAAACTGTTATTGCAGTTAAAGTGCAGAGGCCACTCTGCAGTCACTCACTCATTTAGAGCTTTATTTATATGGTTTTATGACTGTTGTTTTGTTTTTGTACTGCGCTTGTACTTTATATCCGGTGGGATTTTAGTGGTGCCTTAACATCTCCCCCTAGAGTGAGTCACATCCTGTGTGTTTGTCTAGGCATGTGTGTTACTGTGTCTATCAAAGCTCACTGGCCACTCTATTAGAAACAGCTACCTTGGTTTTACACTCATTGTCCATTTTATCAGTTCCATTAACCATAGAGGTTTGCCTGTTAAACTTGTTTTGCCTTTGCTGCGGTTTCATGAAAATGGATGATTATCAGACGAGAGCTTCCATAACGTTGTTTATTCATTTGAGGTGGAAAAAATCAGAATTGTCAGTGATCTTAATTGTTTGTACTATAATACTGAATAACCCGGTCTTCAACAGTCAGAACCTTAGAGTCCAAGGAGCCCAGAAAAATCAACATCCAGTTTTATGACCTTATGACTGCATAAGCTGAACTCTCTCTGGCTGAAGTCTTCTTACTGCTGCGTTACGCTACTATTTATTGGCAATGCACTAGCTAATACTGCCCCGTCAATTTTGAAGACTAGATAATTTAATAGATAATATTATCTATGCCCAGGTGGTAATACAAAAACATTGGTTTTTGGAATGCAGAAAAAACCCTCCAACCAATCACGGCAGTGTTTACTGTGTACTGTGAGCATAAAATCACAATACTGGAATGTCATCCATATCGTGCAGGACTACTTTGTGCATTGTATTCTCTCAGTATAATATTTTGTCCATGTAACACAGCATCATATCGTTTGCCCTTGGTAACCCATGTCTGCCTGAATGTGTGTTTAGAGTTTGGATGAGCTGGATGATGATGATGGAGGAGAGAAGGAGAGGAAGAGCGAGGAAGCCCTAACACAGCACAACACGGTCCAGAATGAATCCATGACCTCTGATCCCGCAGGTCACTCAATACAGGTCGGTGTAATTGTGTGTATGTCTTTGTTATATATATATATATATATATATATATATATATATATATATATATATATATATATATATAATATTTATTGGACATATTAATACTTTATATTATTATTACTCTTATTATTATGTGTTATGGGGCATATATACAATCAAATACATATGGGACATATAATTATGACCCCATGTCCTGACATTGTAAGAAAACTCTGTGTGTGTGTGTGTGTGTGTGTGTGTGTGTGTGTGTTTTTGGTGCTGCCACTGAGTTGCCAAGCAGTGGCACTGTTGGCCAGAGAAAATCAACAGTGTGACCATCAGCACTAAAGACCATAAACACTGCAGGACATTCAGTACTAGAGAAAGAGAAAAACACCATATCATTATTACAAATAAATAAATGATCAATTATAAGGGGTCTTTATGATTAATTATGTTAATATTCAAAAATGGCTTGGAATAAAATCTCTTTACATTAACTTTTTACAATGACCATAAAGACCTTTTTTCTCTTTCTCCTGTGAAGTTACTATTTTGGAGATACTTATTTTTCATTGGACAGCGACAATATATAAAATGTATATATTATATAACATTATATAATAAACATTTCTTAAGGGGCCCTGGTTCAATACTTCTCTTGATTTTTATTTTTTTTGTCCCTGAAGTCTCTAAAGAGGTCTCTCTTTAGCCCTTTGAATTAAACAGGGTATTTTTTTTTACTGTGCCTTTAAGATTGATACATATAAATTACTTTATTCTGATTCAATTCATTCAAAAATGACTCCTGTTGCACACACTTATCACTTCTTATCACTTCAGTGTAAATGGGTGGTCTGAAACAGCTGTGGACTGAATAGGCGGTCATATGTGTTCATGGAAGTGACATCACAACCATGATGACTTCAAAATGGTCTGGTTTTGTAGCTTTGTTTCCATATATGGGCTGAGAAGTGTGCATTTTTTAACTTCATATTACATCATACTCTTGTTTCAAAAGAGGAAAGAAAATATATTTTTCCATGAAACAGGCCTTTAATGTATCACACATCTAGCCAATTATACATGTCTTAATGTAGTATTTTTAGTGCATTAGCTGTGGAATTAGCCTCTTTGCAATCGTTTAATTCTCTTCAGAAAATAACAAAGGACAAAATGGTCTTAAAGCAGTGAGGAAATGTATCATTCACTGGAGGTTCCCTCTCTGACTCACTGAGCACGAGTGAAACAAAGACACGGAATGTCATAGAGCATGCTGGAGTGCTGTTTTCTAAATCTAATTTAATTTTGTTTCACTTGGGCTTTACCTGTTATTCTCATTCAGCTCAGGATAGAGAGAGAGAGAGAGAGGGTGGAGACACAAAGAGAGAGAAGAGAAAAAGGTCCAATTATATTTTTCAAATGGAAGTTATTACTGTGTATTCAGCTTGTGATTTTGAGACGTATTATTATTGTTATCATTGAAGAACTGAAGAATTGAAAAAGTTTCAGTATTAGAAAAGTTATATTTTGTAATACTTTATTAGAAATCCCTACCTTGTACTTCTGCAGGCTGGCCACTTTATTAGGAACACCTTACATTTCCGATACAGAGTTAGTAAAGAAATACTAACATAACTGCTAACTTCGATATTTACTTTTGTATTTATTTGTTTTTTGGTAATTCATAAAATGTTTTTTTTGGGGGAGGGTTTGTAATTTCCACTGTTTTCTCTAAAAAGAAAACAGTCACAAGTCTTTTTCTTAGAAGATAAAATAAATAAAAAAGAATATAAACAAAATTGCAATATCTATATAAAAGTAAACAAAAAATGTAAACTATAAGGCTACATGTCAATATTAAATAAACTAAATATTACAAGTTTGTTTACAGTCTGATCTTGTGTTTGTATATATATAGTGTAGCTCTTACCTTCTGGCTGAAATGAGTGAGAGGGGATTTTCTAATGTGACTCAATCATTCCCAGCAAACTGCGGAATCCACAACTGTATAGAGCTGGACTCTACAGCCAAATAGAGGTGGATTCCACAACCAAATAGGGGTGGACTGTACAACTGAATAGAGCTGGACTGTACAACTGAATAGAGGTGGACTATACAACCAGATGGGGGTGGAATCCGCAACCAGATGGGGGTGGACTCTGTAACTGAGTAGATGGGCGAATTGGTAGCTTTTAACATCTCTATTAAGCATTAGCTTCGCATTTTCTCCTCACTCTAGTAACTAAACCATTCCTTGTCCATCATTGTTGCATTCAACTAACAGACTTCAACCTCTTCAAATGGCATGGCTAATCAACACAAGAAAGGCTAACCACACCATTTTTTCAGTTCCAAGAATCTCAGTGGTTTTGACGTTCATGGTTATTAATTGTAGAAAGATCATGGACCGGGTTAAATAGAACTACAGAAACAATTACTGATATCACCCATTTTATAGCAGCGTGTGCCGTCTAGCAAACCAACATATTGCAAAACATAAATATAACTGTGTGTATTGAGGCAAAAAGTTACAGACTGTAGATTGTCAGCTACTGCACAGTTTATCAGCCCCTCTCTACATCATTCAGCATTGGTCAGTTTCTGACCACAGGACTGCTGTTCTCCAGATATTATTTGGATGGTGGGTCATTTTCAGCACAGCAGTGACACTGACATGGTAGTGGTCTTGGTAGTGTGTGTGGTGCTGGTATGAGTGTATCAGACACAGAGGTGTTTCTGGGGTTTCTACACACGTCAGTGTCACTACTAGGTTGAGAGTGGACCGCCACCCAAAAATATTGAGTCAAGAGCGGCTCTTTGATCCAGCTTGTGTGTGTGTGTGTGTGTGTGTGAGAGAGAGAGAGAGAGAGAGAGAGAGAGAGAGAGAGCGCACTCCTGAGAACTCCTGATTAGTGTGAGGTCCATCTGCTTCTGTTTAGTCAGCTTTTCCTGCCCCTGTTCTTCTGCCATAGAAGGAAAACTCTCCGCTTTACAGAGAATCAGCGGAACATGCAGAACATTCCAAAAAATTCCGGAAAATTCCAGAGGATCTTCTCTGGTTCCTGTCTCAGACTTCTCTGATATTAGCTCTTTTTCTCCACTTGCTACTTCTGAAAAAGTTAATTTAATGAAATACCAGCACATTATTTTTCTGTTTTATTTTATATTGTATAGAATGAATGAGGAGATTTTTTAATTTGTAATTTTTCTTCCTTTTTTTTTCCACTACCACTTTTTGATTTTGGGTCACACACTGCATTAGATCACAGAGAATCAATGTGTAACTGTTAATAACTTATCAGCCAAGGTCAATAGTTCTCGTGTCACAACTGTGAACACATTTACATGAAACTGCTCATTCATCTTACAGAAATTAAGGTCCACCCTTCTGGCCTACAGCAGTTTAGCTCCACTCATTCAGCCTAACCCTAATTTAGCAGTTTAGCTCCACCCATTAAATCTATAGCAGTTGAGCTCCACCCATTAAATCTACTGCAGTTTAGCTCCACCTATTAAATCTACTGCAGTTTAGCTCCACCTATTAAATCTACTGCAGTTTAGCTCCATCTATTAAATCTACAGCAGTTTAGCTCCACCCATTAAATCTATAGCAGTTTAGCCCCACCCATTAAATCTACAGCAGTTTAGCTCCACCCATTAAATCTACTGCAGTTTAGCCCCACCCATTAAATCTATAGCAGTTTAGCCCCACCTATTAAATCTACAGCAGTTTAGCTCCACCCATTAAATCTATAGCAGTTTAGCTCCACCCGTTAAATCTACTGCAGTTTAGCTCCACCCATTAAATCTATAGCAGTTTAGCCCCACCTATTAAATCTACTGCAGTTTAGCCCCACCCATTAAATCTATAGCAGTTTAGCCCCACCTGTTAAATCTACTGCAGTTTAGCTCCACCCATTAAATCTACTGCAGTTTAGCCCCACCCATTAAATCTATAGCAGTTTAGCTCCACCCATTAAATCTACTGCAGTTTAGCCCCACCCATTAAATCTATAGCAGTTTAGCCCCACCTGTTAAATCTACTGCAGTTTAGCTCCACCCATTAAATCTACAGCAGTTTAGCTCCATCTATTAAATCTACTGCAGTTTAGCTCCACCCATTAAATCTACTGCAGTTTAGCCCCACCTATTAAATCTACTGCAGTTTAGCCCCACCCATTAAATCTATAGCAGTTTAGCCCCACCTGTCAATTCTATAGCAGTTTAGCTCCACCCATTAAATCTACAGCAGTTTAGCTCCATCTATTAAATCTACTGCAGTTTAGCTCCACCCATTAAATCTACTGCAGTTTAGCTCCACCCATTAAATCTATAGTAGTTTAGCCCCACCTATTAAATCTACTGCAGTTTAGCCCCACCCATTAAATCTATAGGAGTTTAGCCCCACCCGTTAAATCTACTGCAGTTTAGCTCCACCCATTAAATCTACAGCAGTTTAGCCCCACCTGTCAATTCTATAGCAGTTTAGCTCCACCCGTTAAATCTATAGCAGTTTAGCTCCACCCGTTAAATCTATAGCAGTTTAGCCCCACCTGTTAAATCTACTGCAGTTTAGCTCCACCCATTAAATCTACAGCAGTTTAGCTCCATCTATTAAATCTACTGCAGTTTAGCTCCACCCATTAAATCTATAGCAGTTTAGCCCCACCTATTAAATCTACTGCAGTTTAGCCCCACCCATTAAATCTATAGCAGTTTAGCCCCACCTGTCAATTCTATAGCACTTTAGCTCCACCCATTAAATCTACAGCAGTTTAGCTCCATCTATTAAATCTACTGCAGTTTAGCTCCACCCATTAAATCTACTGCAGTTTAGCTCCACCCATTAAATCTATAGTAGTTTAGCCCCACCTATTAAATCTACTGCAGTTTAGCCCCACCCATTAAATCTATAGGAGTTTAGCCCCACCTGTCAATTCTATAGCAGTTTAGCTCCACCCGTTAAATCTACTGCAGTTTAGCTCCACCCATTAAATCTACAGCAGTTTAGC